TTGTAAAGGCTAGATTGGCACTAAGTGTATTGGGCTTAATACTTTAGTGAAATCCATCTGAAAGAGGGTGGGACTGGATGTAGGAGGATTACACCACCTCTGAACCAGGATATATCGTGTGTTGAACTCATTTGAATCAACAAAGCACACACCAAACACTTCTCACATAAAGATTGTAGTCTGCCGGCAGAATCCTAAGCAGTTGTCTTTATTGAACCAACTGCTTATCCTACTGCCTAAAATTTCACTTTCTTTGAGACCGGATTCATACCTATAACGTGAACCAACAACATCTAAAAGGATCACTCTTTCAGTTCCCTGAAATTCATTTTCTAAGTACAGCAGGTGCCTCAGCAGTTCCTTGGAATCCACCCAACTGCTGAGCCCTCTGCTCATATATACTTGTTTCAAGTCACTATCTCAAACATCACCAGATTGTCAAATACCTCATCGAGAAGTTCGCTTAACCCAATAAACCTTTGACCTGAGCAGGTGCCTCAGCAGTTCCCTCATATTCACCCAACTGCCGAGCCCACTGCTTCAGCAAAAAGCTAGTCTCCCCTCTTTTAAGCATACTTACCAAAAGACCACACCATACTCATGAAACAACTATCTCTACCTCCATCATACACTTTGCATTTCCTGAGCAGTTGCCTCAGTAGTTCCCTGCTCTTAGCCACCTGTTAAGCCAACTGCTAGCATTCTAAGCCAAACACTCTCCAAGTTAGAAAGTGGCTAAACACTCATTACTCAAAGGGTAAAGACTTCCGTTGTGCATCTACAAAACTCTCAAAAGTTTATAGATTAACTCTTTTAGAGGGAAAACTTTCAAAAGTCGAAAAAGATTTAAAAGTCTATTCACCCCCCCCCCCCCCTCTAGACTTTTACCCTATCCGGGACCATCATATATATATATGCAATTCCTTCCATTTTACAAGTAGTAGTGGGCTAGTAACCAGTCGCCCGCTGAGCCCACTGCTTGCAAGGATGCAGTCAACTGCTGAGCCAATTGTTTGAATTTTGACTCCTTTTGAATTTGAAATCCTGATAGTGACTTCTTGGACCTTTAAGCTTCATTCCTTGTTGAGTAGCTAACCTTTGGCAGGTGGCTACTTCTCAGTACCTCATAGAAGTTCCCCCTCAGCAGGTGGCTAGGAATTCCCCCTTAATTTTATAATCAAGTTCCCCCTGAATAGGTGCATTGTAACACCCCGGCCCCGTAGGCCCCGAGGTAGTTACTTGTGACCTCTAGTACTGTCCTCACAAACCGCCACTAGCCTTTTCCACGCACTTTGTCCTCACTCGTGCGCGCCCTGAGAAACTTCTCAGGGGGTCACCCATCCCAAGATTACTCCCGTGCAAACACGCTTAACTTTGGAGTTCTTGGCTAATGAGCTCCCTTAAAAGGAGATGCACCTTATTGGTATGAGTAGTACTATTAATCCTCTTAAATTAATCTCGGGTATTACAATCACCCCCACTTAGGATCGCAACGTCCTCGTTGCGCCCTTAACACTCTAAATCAAACCCCAGAATCTTGCCCCGCTAAGTGCCTGCCCGATATCTAACGGGTCAACACACTGTCGCAGGGTTGCTCTGATACCATTTCTAACACCCCGGCCCCGTAGGCCCCGAGGTAGTTACTTGTGACCTCTAGTACTGTCCTCACAAACCGCCACTAGCCTTTTCCACGCACTTTGTCCTCACTCGTGCGCGCCCTGAGAAACTTCTCAGGGGGTCACCCATCCCAAGACTACTCCCGTGCAAGCACGCTTAACTTTGGAGTTCTTGGCTAATGAGCTCCCTTAAAAGGAGATGCACCTTATTGGTATGAGTAGTACTATTAATCCTCTTAAATTAATCTCGGGTATTACATGCATGGTTATTCCTTCACTCGATCTAGATCATCTAGCATTCCAAGATCTTGCCTTAGTTGGTTGAATCTAGTTTCATTCAATGGCTTGGTGAAGATGTCAGCCAACTGCTTTTCCGTGGGGATGTACTCAAGCTTGATGATTTTCTTCTCAACATGTTCTCTGATAAAGTGATGCCTGATCTCAATATGTTAAGTTCTTGAGTGAAAAACTGGATTATGAGTGATGGCTATAGCACTTGTGTTGTCACACAGTATGCTAATCTCCTTTGTTTCTTCTCCATAATCCTTCAATTGTTGTTTCATCCATAGTATTTGTGCACAACAGCTGCCTGCAGCTATGTATTCAGCTTCAGCAGTGCTAGTAGCAATAGAATTTTGTTTCTTGTTGAACTAGGAGACAAGTCTTCCACCAATCAATTGACAAGTACCCGAGGTACTTTTTCTATCAATTTTGCATCCGGCAAAGTCTGAGTCTGAGTAGCCATAGAGTTCAAAACCTCCATTTGTTGGGTACCATAATCCAGAGTTAGGATTACCTTTTAGATACCTCTAAATCTTCTTTTTTTTTGGATAAAATGTAAAGTATATATATCCAGAAAAATAGCATAGTACAATGCATCACGATTACAATCAAAGTGCATATCCCGATACATGGGATACCACAAAATCAGTAGAAATCCTCAAAAGTCAACAGTTTGAACCTAAAAACATTATGAAGGGTTGAGTCTTTAAAGAGCAGGAAAATGTTGGGGGGAAAGCAGCCGAGTTCAGTTTTTCATATGGAGGTTTTAGAGGAAGAGGGCTTGAAAGTGTCAGATGACTGTGAGCTACCCTTGGTTGAGTTGGAGGAGGATTCAGGGAAGCTGGATCTTATTAATACGAAAGCGACAGAGGTGGAGGAAAATCACAAAGCCCTGGAGGTTATTGAAAAACATAAGGCTAACGTGAGTGAGGGTGCTCTCGCAGAAAAAAGTGGAGGAGAACTGGTGATGCCTGAGGTACAACACAACTCACTAGAAGAGGGGGAAGTGGTGCATGATGGCAGCTCTATGGAAATAGTGCAGGCAGGATACACCTTAGAGGGAGATTTGGTTAACATTGAAAATATTACCTTGGATGCTTGGAAGGTTGCCTGTGGGGAATTACAACAAAAGGTGTCTTCATTGGTTAATCACAAGTTAGAGATGCAAGGTGTGGTTTCAAGAAGAAAAGTCAAGGACTCCAAGGAGGCTCCTCCTCTTCGTTCGGTCAGTACGAGGTTAGCGGCCAAGAGGAACACAAAGGACCAATCCCTTGATGTTTCTCTATGAAGATGCTCACATGGAATTTACGTGGCCTCGCTTCGTCGTGCCCGAGGTTACGTGAATTTGTTAGGCACCACTCTTTGAATTTTATTACTATTATTGAACCAATTGTGGGTCAAAATAAAGGGGATTACTACTTACACAGTTACACTCCCTCGGTTTCTCTAATATTTTTATGTCTTCATCAAATAAAATATGGATTATGTGGAACTCAATGTCCTTTGAGGTGTTGTCTGTTAGGGATGAAGGACAATTTTTATTGGTCAAGTTGCGTTTTATTTCGCTTAATGTTACTTTTGGGATTAAGGCTTGGATGTTGTTGTAATGTTACTTTTGCCTTCTCTCCGGTTTATGGTCTGCATTGAAGGAGGGATAGGTCAAGGCTTTGGGATGGTCTTTTATGCTATGCCAGATCAGAGGTCATTCCCTGGGTACTAGGAGGGGATTTTAACATTGTTGCTAATATGGATGAGTACAAAGGGCCCGTGAGCCCTCTCTTGGGAGATGCAGCATTTTCGAGAATGCATTGATGAATGTGAGCTACAACAAATACCATTTATAGGGTCCTCATACATGTTGACATGGGTTCGATCTAACGGCAGAATTTGGGAGAGATTGGATCGGTATTTGGCTAATCAGGAGTTTATTACTAACTTCGAGGCAATTAGAATACAACATTTGCCCAAGACACCCTCAGACCATTGCCCTATTTTGCTTCTTTGTGAGAGTGGTTTAAATAAGGGGCCAAGACAATTTCGCTTCCATAGTATGTGGTTTACAAATGAAAATTTCCTTCCTTTTGTAAAAGCTAAATGGGCTGGTTATCCTACTGTTGGAGGAATGATAGGTTTGTGTGGCAAGTTGAAGTCTCTTAAAGAAGATTTAAGGAAGTGGAACAGAGATATTGTGACACTTCAAAAATTTAAATAAAAATAAAAATAATTTTTATTAATCTGATAAAATATTATGAAAATAACATTTTTATAATTAATTGAGTCAGACAAAAATTCAACAGTGGTAACGTGCCAATCAGATAAAAATTTCAAAATTTATGATGTTTTAGTCAGATAAAAATATTTCAGTAATAAGAACACCATTTTAGTAAACAAGTGAACCAGACAGAAAATTTACATTTGCGACATTTTAGTCAGATAAAAATGGTCCGATAATAGATGTAACGTATAAAATAATACGGAGGGACTGTACAATAATACGTAGTATAATTTACTAAACCTAAACTAAACTATCTACGTACGTATAAATTTTTATACGTATAAATTATTAACAAACTAACTACTACAACATACTAATAATACTCCTAACTAACTACGTACGTATACTCCTAATAGATATATAACTACGTACGTAATACTAATTATATAACAAATATACTCCTAATACTCATAAAGGTGCAAAAGAATCAAAATTTAACTCTAACACTAACATAGCCCGGAACCCTCATCTTTCCCTATAAATAGCAAGCCAAACCTGCGATTTTATTCATTCAAACCTGCGATCAATACATACATATATACGTATATATATATATATATATATATATATATATATATATATATATATATATATATTTTCGACAATTCGTTTTAGCTAGAACCAAACCCTGAAAACACTCTAGAAACCTTCCCCTTCGTGAGACGAATCCAACGGAGAAAGAATCGTGGAAAACGGACGTCGGAGTAGGGAGAACAAGCTCGCCGGAGTGTCTGCGGGCTGATTTTGGGACGGGAAACAGAGCAGGAAAAGAGAGCTGCCACCGCCGCCGCCAGACCATCACAGACCTTCGTCGTCCCCAAACAAGCCTGCTAACACCGCCGTTACGCCCGTCTGACGAGGTAAGCCCTTCCCTGCGTTTTTCTTTCCCATTCTCCGGTGACCTGGGGAAGAAGACGACCCAACAATTGCTGGGGTCGGTTTTTGGGCCTTTTCAGGTTGGGCCAGAAAAATTAAATTTGGGTCAGTTCGGCCCAGTTGCAATAAAAATTAAAAATAAAATAGTAAATGAAATAAATAAAATCTGGAAAAATATAAATTAAATACCTAGTATAAATATACGTATTCGGACCAACCAGAATTGAAAAATAATATTTTTTAGCTATTTTTAATTGATTTAATTGTAATTGGGCCAATTTGTACACATTTAGTAAATAATTAACTAATTGATGAAAATAATTATGAAATAAATATTGGAGTAAACTAGGATAAATATATGACTAAATAGGACCTTATGGACCATTTATAATTAATAAATATTAAGATTTAGTATATTTAATTGTAATTGAACCGGTTAATAGATATATGAAATTAAAGGAATAATTATGGAAAATAATTATAAAATAGATATCTGGACAACCTAGGTCAAATATAGACCCAAAATATAGTTATAGACGGTTACTAATTTATAAAGTCGATTCTTAGTCTATTTATTTAAATTAGGCCATATAAAACTAGTTAAGTAATTAAATAAGGAAATATTAGTATTAATGGTGAAATAAATAAATCATTGAGATTGAAAAATAATATTCTGGACTAAAAATGATGTTGGAATAAAATAAGGAAAATAAAATAAGGTTGGGTTAGTTAGCATAAATAATTGACTATATGTAGACTTAATAAATAACTTAGTTAATATCTATATCTTTTTTCCGTTGGACAAGTCGAGAGCTTCTCTCACTACGCTCCCTCGCGTAGCTAGCTTGTTCTTACGGAAATAGCTCATTTTCTACCGATTTGGAGCTTGATTCTTGTGTTCTGAGCTTGGATTTTGATTCTCCTACTTCACTTCTTCGGATTGGAAGCTGAAATCTACATCTCCAACTCATTTCCGAGCTCTTTGGTCATCTTTCTCGCAAATTCGTTCTCGGAGTTACTATTCACGCCAGGAAGGTCGACGCCTCTCCAGCTCGATTCTCTTGGCCAAATCTGGATTTGAAGCTTGTTCTAGCATCTCCTAACTCTGGAGATTAACTTTATATACTTTCTTTCATCATCGGCCTCCGTTGACTTTTTGCTTCTTCTCCAACGGTCATCACCATTGGTACGGAAACGAGCTCAAATTAAGGTAACAACTCTTATGCTTCTACTCGGAGGGGTTGCTACCTCTTAGCTACCCCGTCGCCCTCCATGGGGGGCAAAAAGAAGAAGACTCCTTCCCGGCCCACAAAGTCTTCATCTCGGCTTAGAGCAATAGCTCATTCCCAAATGGTTGAAAAAGTCGTGGACCATGTAGATGCGGCTGAAGTTTGTAATGAAGACATTGAGGTTACTAACCCTTCAATTGTTGCCTCGCAAAAGGATGATGGGTTGGTCCTTGATGTTAATGCTACTCGAACTGATTTGGCCGTGACCTCTTCTAATGAGGGTGATGCTACTCAAATTGATATGCCCGTGACCTCTTCTAATGAGGATGATGCTACTCCTAAAGCTACACAAGACAATGATGAACCTTCGCTTCATATTGAGGTAACTCCTAATATAAATGATGTTCCCGTGACCTCCTCTATTGTGGATGATATTATTGTTGTGGAAGAGCAGCTTGAATACACTATTGATCCCTCGGTTCAATCCATTTTGGATAATGAATCTGCCATTGATTCTACAACTACAAATGACGATGTCAATGAAAGTGTGGATTTGAATAAAAACAAGGGCGTTGTCCCTCATGACTCAAGTGTGATCGCCGCGGCATTAGGTGACAAACCTATTGTGGATGCCGCGGCATTGGTGGATAAACCCGAGAGCTCACATAGACCTCATTCCAAATGGGGGCAACCTGGTTCCACCCCCTCTTTTGTCTCACTTTTCAAAGACAATAGACAACCGGACAAAGGCATGAAGCTACGATATATTGAACCAAAAGGGGATATCATTGATCTCACTAACCGAAAGATGTCTTCCATGGTTGAGATATGGGGATTTTGTTTAATGGCTTACTTTGATGGACGCTTTCCCGGGCTAAAAAACATACATGATATGGTACACAAATGGGGGGTACCTTGCCGTGTAAGATCACATGATAGAGGGTGGGTGATATTCAAATTCCAAAATGAGGATGATAGAGCCAAGGTACTCATGGAGGGCCCCTACTCTCTTCTTGGAAAAATTGTCCACCTCAAAGCTCTATCTGAAGACTTCTCTATGGATGATGATAAGTTCTTGAAGGTGCCCATTTGGGTTCTTTTCCCCCATTTACCCATGAGAATTTGGGAAGAAGAAATAATTAGCGAGGTAGCATCTAGAGTGGGAACTCCTATCACCACGGATAGAGTTACATTTGAAAGGGCTAGATCATCATTTGCAAGGGTCCTTATTGAGGTGGATGCCTCTAAACCGCCCCCTCTTCACTTCCAAATCAGACTGCCAAATGGGAGGTTGCACACCCAAAGAGTGAGGTATGAAACCTTCCCTAACTATTGCTTTCATTGTAAATGTTTTGGCCACCATTGTTTCACTTGCAAGGTTATAGCCGAAATAGAAAGGAAAGAGGAAGAAGCAAAAAAGGGGACAAGTGAGGATGTTATTGGCACCACAACGGAGGATGAAGTATTGAACAATAATGACAAAGGCAAGCAAATTATGGAAGATAGTGTCCAAGTTCCGAGGACCACCAAACCTCCAACAAAAGAGCACCCCTTTTTTAAACTTATAAGAAATGTTAAGCATGGGAAGAGAAGGCCAAGAAGAAGAGAAAGGGATAGATCCCCCGGGTATACTACTAAATATGATGATGAAGACCAAAGTGGTAAAACCGTGAGAAGTGTGAAAACATTTGATGAAATCTACTCCGATGAGGTGATTATTGAAATGAACCCCGCATTGGATTTCTCTAGTCCAATTGTTAAGGTCAAGCATATTGAAAAAGTGGATGATGATGCTAATGTAATCAAACTTGGGCACAACTTGAACCTTGTTGATCCCAAAGACCCTGGAGTATTCTTCACCAAAGAATGTCTCCAAAGTCTACCGGATGTCCTACCAAATGATCAAGGTTATGCTTTTGGTCCTACATTCATGAGGGGTGTCTATAGACACTATCTTAATAGGTTCTATGAGGAGGGCTGCCCGAGAGGTAACGCATGCAAAGTGAAAGATCCAAGAAAGGTTAAACTTAACCAAATCCGTGTGGTGAATGACATTAGGGATGCCTATCTTGATGATGTCATCACCAAAGTTGAACTATTTGATGATCAACCGCACAAGATTCATCTTTTACATATTGAAGAGGTCAAGCAAACAATGGTTAGACTTGACAACTACCTTAGTGTCCAAGATCAACCCGACACCAAAGCGATCACTCTCACCCAAGAATGTCTAAGAGCTCTACCGGGAACCATTCCTACCGATGATGGGTATGCTTTCTCTTCCTCTTTCTTTGAATTGCCTTACTTTTTGCTTTTCATTACTAGGTACACTCCAAGGGAGCCCAAGAAGCACCCATTGGCCGAGGCTAGGAATGCTAAGAGGGGTTGGAGGAAGACCCCTTCAAAATCATCTTAATGTTTGTGTCCTCATGGAATGTCTGAGGCCTCAATAAGGTCTCCAAACAAAACCTTATATCTAACTTTGTGAAATCTAATCGTGTACATATTTGTTGTTTACTTGAAACCAAATTGAACACTCCAAACTTTGATAAGTTCTTAAGTTGTAAATGGCCTTCTTGGTCATCTATAACTAACTTTGATAAGATTGATGGTGGCCGTATTGCTGTTTTTTGGGACCCTAACTATGTCCATGCTAATGTGCTTGAAGTTGACAAACAACATATTCATTGTGAGTTCAAATGCTTGACTACTCAACTAGTCTTTTATGTCACTTTTGTCTATGCTCTATATTCGGTTGTTGAAAGAAAAGTCCTTTGGGATCATATTGCTCTTTTGGAACCCTCTATTGACAGCCCTTGGCTTGTAATGGGGGATTTCAATTGTGTATGTAGCCCCAATGAGAGGGTGGGGCCTACCCCCCCCCCCTCGGCTTACCAATTACAAGGTTTAAATGATCTTAGAGTACAAGCTAATTTAGTTGATACTCCTTCTACGGGTGAGTTCCTTACTTGGAATAGAGGATCCCTTTGGGCCAAGCTTGATAGAGTCCTTATGAACCCTCTATGGGGTACTCATGGGATCTCTTATACTACACATTTCCATGATATGGAAGTTGAGTTTGACCATGTAGCTTCTATAGTTACTATCGGTCAAACCAACAACTTTGGCTCTAAACCGTTTAAATTCTTTAATATGTGGCTAAAGCATGAGTCTTTCAAAACTACACTTACTTCCTCATGGTGTAAGGAGGTCTATGGAAGCTCGCAATTCATTTTGGCCCAAAAATTGAAGCACTTAAAGCAACCTCTTAAAGAGTTAAATAAACTGAATTTTAGTCACATTTCCGAAAGGGTCAAGGATTCTAAGAAGGAGTATAAAGGACTTCTTGTCCTTTCTACATTGTCCCCATTGGATGAGACCCTTAAGGTGGATCTCGCTATTTGCAAGAAAAAACTCATTAACCTTAAAAAGGCTGAGGAGGATTTCTTTAGACAAAAAGCTAAAGCCACACATCTTGTTCAAAGTGATAAATGTACCAAATACTTTCATTCTATTGTCAAAAAGAACAATGTTAGGAACTCCATTACAGCCCTTAAGCTTCCTAATGGGGATCCTACTACCTCTTTAGATCAAGTTGCTTGTGAATTGGTGAATTTTTACACTTCTTTGTTCGGTACTCATTATCCAAACGCTCCTTTGGACCCAGATATTGTGGCTTCAGGTAAAACTATACCATCTAATCTTAAAGACAGCTTGGTTGTTCCTTTCTCTGACCTTGACATTAAGGAGGCTTTGTTTGATATAGGAGATAACAAGGCCCCTGGCCCTGATGGGTTTACTTCGGCCTTTTTCAAAGAAAACTGTGACATTGTTGGGTATGATATGATCAAGGCTGTGAGGTTTTTTTTTTGGTTCTGGTAAACTCCTAAAGCAACTCAACCACACGGTTATTGCCTTGATCCCTAAGACCACACATTCCCCTACAGTAGCAGATTTTAGACCCATTGCTTGCACTAACGTTATCTACAAAGTCATCACTAAAGTCTTGGCTAAGAGGATGATTCCTTGTTTGCCGGACCTTATTGATCCTGCCCAGGGGGCCTTTGTAGATGGAAGACTTATGATTGATAATGTCTTTATTACTCAAGAACTGGTTAAAGGATATACCAGGAAAAGAATATCTCCTAGGTGCATGATTAAGATAGACCTTAGGAAAGCCTATGATACCATATCCTGGGACTTTTTGGCTACAATGTTAGCACATTTGGGATTCCCTAGGAGATTCATTGGATGGATTATGGAATGTGTCACCACACCCTCCTACTCCATCTCAATAAATGGTGTTCTCCATGGTCATTTTAAAGGAAAAAGGGGCTTGAGACAAGGGGATCCCATGTCCCCTATTTTATTTGTACTTTGTTTGGAATACTTATCAAGATTGCTGAATGTAAGAACACAGGATCCTTGCTTTAAGTACCATCCAAAGTGTGGCAGCCTAAAGATTTCTCATGTTGCATATGCGAATGATTTAATGCTCTTCTCAAAAGGGCACAAACCATCCATCAAGATTCTTGTTGACTCCTTGGAGGATTTTGCCAGAGTCTCGGGCCTTAGGGTCAATTATGACAAATCAAATATCTTTCTTGGAGGTATGGCTGACTATGAGTTAAATAGTATCCTTGAACTGGTAGACTTTAAAGTAGGGGCTTTTCCTGTTAAATACCTTGGGGTCCCTTTGGCCCCTCTAAAGGTATCTGTGGCACAATTTGCTCCCCTACTTGACTCTGTGACTAATTTCATAAGTGCTTGGAATCTTAAGACACTATCATATGCTGGGAGGATTGAGCTTATCAAGTCTGTAATACAAGGGGTTCACTCCTTTTGGCTCCAAATTTTTCCTATCCCTAGGACTATACTTGACTGGATTACCTCTATCTGCCGCATTTTCCTTTGGGGGGGGGGGGCAAGTACTCTAGGATCTCCTGGGCTGATATTTGCCTCCCTAAGGAAGAGGGTGGACTTGGGATTCATGATACTAAAGTTTGGAACTCTGCCCTACTTGCAAAGATCTTTTGGGATATACATACCAAAAAGGATGCACTTTGGGTTAAATGGGTTCATGGGATTTACTTAAAAGGCCGGGATGTGTGGGATTTTTCCCCACATCATAGAGACTCACACTTAATGAAAAAAATGGCTTCAATTAGGGATGAATTTTTGGGAAAATTTGGGGGAACCGAAGCTGCTATACATGGTTTAAATGCTTTACAATTCAATGGTAAGCTTAGCTCTTCTAAAGTATATAATTTGCTTAGAATCAAAGCTCCTAACCGTTGGTGGATGTCCTTTATTTGGAAGAATTATATCCCTCCCAAGTTTTCCTTTACAACTTGGTTGGCATTCCGAAATAGGTTGGCTACATATGACAATCTTCACCGATTAGATGTAGTCAACATATGTGCCTTGTGCAAGGGTGGGCTGGAAACAGTCCCACACCTATACTTTGAATGCCCTTTTACAGGTAAAGTTTGGAGCTTGGTGAAGGAGTGGCTGCATATCCCACGGCTTATGGGATCTTTGACTAGTGCGGTCAAGTGGATCAAGAAGGAGAGGAGTGGAGCTACTATTCAAGCAACGGTAGCTAGGATTGCATTTTGCTTTTCAGTCTACTGGATCTGGAGGATCAGGAATGCCACAAGATTTGATGGCCTACTACCTAAAGAGGAAGAGGTTTTTGCAAGGATAAAGTACATTGTGTACAAAGTTTTGTATACTCCCTCCGTCCCTGTTTTATCTCCCATTTTGGCTGGGCACACTTATTAAGATAGTGGGTTTTGTGTGGTGGAGAGTTGTGCAGAGGAGAGAGAAATGTGTAAGAATGTGTAAGAATGATTGTGAACCACAAATTCTTTGCCAAAAAGGGAAGGAGGAGATAATTTTGGGACGGACGAAAAAGGAAAGTTTGAAGATAATTCAGGGACGGAGGGAGTAGTATTTACCCACACGAGTTGGTGGTTTTTTGATACTTTGGTGTCCCTTATTTTGCATATAGCTGCTGTGGGCGTGCTTAAGTAGCGGCATTAGTCTTGGCTACTTAAGTGGCTGCTTATATTTTTGATGGTGATGGGTTATCCAATCTTTGGATAGCTTGCAATTTTGCTCACCCGTTTTGATGTACATAAACTCTTTGGATGGTTCCATATATATATTTACTGTTCATCCAAAAAAAAATAACTTAGTTATGTAATTAGTGGACTAATTCAATTAATAATTTTTATGATTAATTATTAGAGATTCGGACTTCATATAAATATTTAAAGTATTTGAACTCATAAATTAATGTGTTAATATAAATAAAGTAATTAAATAATATTTTATGAGTAGAGTAAATTAATGGTGATTATTGAATAAAAAATTAGATGTTGTAGTTAATTATATTCGAATATGTTCTTTAATATTAGAATTCATATATTGAAATTAATGGTTGAATTAATAAGGTAATTTGATTAATAAAAAGTGATTAATCAAATAAATTCGAATAAGCTAAGTTAATGCGAATAATAAAATAAAAGGAGAAAATCGGGTAAAATGATTACAAATAGAATAAGTGACTAATTTATCATATTTAATTAAAAAGGTGATTATCTAGAGACCGGATTAGAGGAGGATAACTAGGAGCGTCAGGACTTAAGGTAAGTTTCTCTGCCAATCCAAAATTGTTTCCTCGTATTATATGCTTATTATATGCATTATGTGATTAAGTGTGAATTGTGAATTTTGTGTATGTGATTTTGAGGAGATATTATATATATAGTAGTTAAGAAGTATAAAATCAAGTACTTTTGGGGTATTAAATATTTTTAAATACCTTCGAGACTTTTTAGAGAAATTAAGAAGTATTTTTTGAAGTATTATTAAGCGAAGATAAAATTCACATTTTCATAAGAAGTGAGCATCTCGGGAGTAATCCGAGATGTCGGTTTTTCCACATCCGGATAAATGTGGAGGGTGATTAGAGCTACTACTACTAAGAAGTACAGTTTAAGTTTCAAGTGAGATTTGGATCTATGATCCCTTTTAAGTGAGATTTGGATCTATGATCCCTTTTAAGAAGAAGTTATAGTAGTAGTCCCTAATCATTCAAGAATTTTAGAGATGAGGTGATTGGGTTCCGACCACTCGGGATGACTTACTACTCGGAGGGCTTGAAATCCCTTTTAGGGGGTGTGCACACTTAAGGTAGTCGTTTCGTTTCCGCAAGAGCAGTTGTGGTACCGGCACTTGTTCGGGGTGGCCGTCCGTAACCACGGTTCACCGAGCTCAGTCGAAAGGTTGAGCACCGCCCTTCTAAATTACTAGGAAGTTAGAGAAGAAGTGATTTTCTTAAGAAGTTTAAAGAGAAGAGATACTAAGAGATTTTCGAAGAGAAGTTTAAGATTTTAGTAAAGAAGTAATTTTAAGAAAAATCAAAGAGAAAAGTATTTTTGGTGGAGTGCGTCATTTTTATATGATATTATATATAAAAATCTATTTTCGCCAAACGTGATTATTTTACGGGGTTGGGTAGTACTTACTTAGCTCTAAAGCTAATTTTTGTTATTTCTCTTGTCTCTCTCTTCTCCCTTAAATTTTATCAGGTGATGAGTTGGATGCCTATGGGGATTGATGGATTGCTCGAGCTTGAGTGCGAATTAGAAGATGCTTTAGTTAAATCTAGTCATGAAATAAACATTTACTTATTATTACATTAGTTTTTATTGTTTTACTTTGAGTTGCCTGTGCATTCGGTTAAGAGATGACCGAATGTGGCGGTAACACCCATTTCCCTTTTAGACTTCTGCTGTATTTCTTCAACTCTTTGATGAATGAATAAAGTATTTCCTTTAAATATATCAATGCTTTGAGTGGGAAATTTGGGGGTGTTACTGATATTTGAGATATATTTGCAGAGTCCAAGAGGTTGGAGCAGGAAACTTTGGAGGCAAAGAAACAATATGAAGAGTCTCCCTCGGTTCACACGCGAGCACACTGTCACAAAAAACAGACTGAGCTTCAATTGAGGGTGAAACAACAAGATATGTACTGGAAGCAAAGGGGAAACATTAAGTGGTTAAAAGAAGGGGACGCCAACACCAAGTTTTTTCATAGGGCAGCAAAGGAAAAAGTGAGCAAGCAACACATTCATGCGATTAAGAAGCATAACAGTGAGTGGTGTTATACGGCTAAAGAGATTGGGGAGGAGGCTGTCTCTTTTTTCAAAAATTTGTATAGTTTTGAGCATACAGGTTCGTTTGACAAGATTTTGGATGTTGTGCCAAGCCTTTTGGAGGAGGAGGATAATAACAGACTGGTTGGGCTACCTGGGGAATTGGAGGTTAGGGAGGCTGTTTAGGGGGCTTAATCCAGATTCAGCTGTTGGGAGATCATCAAACAGGATGTCTTATTAGCAGTTCATGAATTTTTCATGGGGTTTAATATTCCAAAAGGTGTAGGAAGCGTGAATATGGTTCTCATTCTGAAGAAGAAATTTTTTACCACCTTTAGGGATTTCTCGTTCGAAGTATTGTCTAATTGTTTTTCATGGATTCATCATTAAATATACACGGTATACGTTATTGGTGAGATTTCTCTTTTACTTTTTAAATTCTTCTAATTATTCTTAGATTATTCGACTGTTGAAATATGGGCATATCTCACACAAGCGGTATTCTCAAAATTCCGCAAAAGCATCGGCGAGATTAACAGCTTCACGAATAAATTGGTTTGAGATAGGTTTATAACATCACTAAAAGTTTCAGTTGCATTAAAAAAATATACCAAAACATTACAAATTTTTTCGCAAGTGTCGATATCAGCCGAGTTTATAATATAGTTATCATATTGTTTTAAAAAAGCAGGAAAATGTTCTTTATATCTAAGAAGAACTGTCATTAACTTATAAGTACTATTCCAACGAATAGACAAATCTTTAGGAAAAGCCACATATTTCACAACTCTTTCTATCAAATAATCATGCCATTTTTTCTAAGTGGACCACTACCCAAATACGTCTAATCCCCCCATTGACTACCTCCATAGAATCTCCTAACGCTTTTAGACCATCTTGCACACATAAGTTTAGAACATGACATGCACATCGTTGACGAAAAAGTCTACCCATCAAAGAAGTAGCACCACACAATTCACGCAATCTAGGAATAGCAGCAGTATTATTAGTAGCATTATCAAAACCAATAGCAAACACCTTATCATTCAAATTATACTCAATTAAAATACGCTCAATCAAAATATAAATATGTTCAGCGGTGTGACGATCATTAAATTCACGAAAAGCAAGAACACGTTTATGCATATTCCAATCATTATCAATATAATGTGCAGTCAGACCTAAATAATGTAAATTATGATAAGTATCCTCCCATATGTCAGAACATACAGTAACACACCCATCAAAATTTGCAAAATAATTTTGTAACCTTACCTTTTCCGCACCATAAAGCTTTATGTTGAGGTTTATTCCCCTCAACCCGCAGGCCCAACACGTAACCCGGGGGTTCGAATGGGTGGAGGGCAAATAAGATCACTAGACAACGGGGAGTGGGCTAATAAATGTATTTCATTCACTCCAGTGATTACAAGCCGAGGGGCCGAACGTACTAAGCTATGCTACGTGCTATTGATGCTATTACCCTGCTATAGAGTCAAAGTGTGAACCCCCTTTAATGAAATAAATGCAACTATTTATAGTATCCCATGGTGGTTGGGGGAGCTGACGTGGCTGGCTGTGGGCGATATGATCCCAACCACCAAATCTCCCGCATTTAATGCATTTCCCGCCAGAATCTTGGCTTCCCGCCATGTCGTGGGGGATGTCCGTCCTCTGGGCTGGACTCAGCCCTCCGATGGCAGCCTGGGCCCTCGAGTGGTAAACCACGAGACGCTCGTCCCCTGGTCCTTGGGCCCTAAAGCTAGGTCATGCTGAGCTACGTACGTCCCCTGTCCCTTGGTCCATGGAGCTTGGTCATGCTGAGCTACGTACGTCCCCTGACCATTGGGCCCTGAAGCTTGGCTATGCTGAGCTACATACGTGCCCTGGCCCTTGGGCCCTGAAGCTAGGTCATGCTGAGCTACGTACGTCCCCTGGCCCTTGGTCCTTGGAGCTTGGTCATGCTGGGCTACGTACGTCCCCTGGCCCTTGGTCCTTGGAGCTTGGTCATGCTGGGCTACGTACGTCCCCTGGCACTTGGGCCCTGAAGCTAGGTCATGCTGAGCTATGTACGTCCCCTAGGGGTTGGTGGACCGGCCCTGGTTGGGCCATTAACCCAACACAAGTCCCCCACTTCTGATGTTCCGAGCATGCGCGGGACATAAAGAAGTAAAATACCTTCTGATGTACCGCCCCTGAGGTGTTACTTCCCCTTTTTTCGAAGTGACGGTTGCTTCCCCGCCGTTGTTCGCGGGGCTCTAGGTGCCAGCTATCATGCCAGTTCAACTTCCGATGCAAAAGTAATCATTTCGTACCAGCCCGTCTCTTCGTGACACGCGTCCCTGGGTACGCTCCTTGCCACATGTCACCTACGGGTTGGCCACTGAACCGGTGCCTCCCCTTATAAATACTGGGATTACGGGAATGGTTAGGGATTTCCATCCTTTGCCTCCTTCTACCTTCCCAGTGCCGTCCAACGAGTGTCTCGAGTTTCCGTGTTCATCCCTCTTCCAAGGTTTCGCAAGGTAATTCTTCGATCCAAACCCTTTCCCTTTCTTTTTGTAAGCCTCCCCATGGCCTGCTCCATGGAGATTTCTTCCGATTCGGAGACTGGTTCTAGCTCCTCTACTGGCTCTTCAGCCGGTTCCCCTTCTGCAATGGAGCTCAGATCCCGTTCCTCGACAGGAGCGAGTGGTTCTGGCCGTTCCAGTGCTTCTTCGATGGCGGTCCCTGGGGCAACAGTTGATGTCGCGATCCCAGATGCAGGGGGAACATGTTGACATGGACTTCATTCCCGAGAACGTCGTTGCAATGGCGGTGCAACCTGCCGCAGGGGTGGGGCATTCAGCCGATCACGATTCGGGTGACGAGGCTGAGGAAGGGGATGGTCTCCGGATATACAAGCTCGGCGTCCCCATGGATCAGCACCGGCACATAGTGCTCATCCCCAATGTCACCGTGATTGAACAGGGCTTCTCTAGGAGGGCCCTGAGGGAACTGCAGATTATTCTCCCTCCACCTGCCTACTACAGCCTCCGGGGTGCGGATAACCTCCTCATTAGACGTCCGAGAATGGTGATGGTGCACATGGATTCTATAAAGGCCTGACTGTGCTTTCCGCTCCACCCATTTTATCTTGATTTTTTCGAATTTTATAGTGTTATTCCGGCCCAATTCATGCAGAACTCCTACCGTTTGATCTCCGCATTCCTCGTTCGTTGCAAATCGCTAGGGCTCACCTCTAATCTTGAGCTTTTCCATTATTTCTTCCAACTCACCCCTCAAAATGTCGACGGGTTTCTGAGTGTGGCCGCTTGTCCCAAAAGAAAGTTGTTCGAGGGGGCTCCCACTTCCATCCATGATTGGAAAAATCATTTTTTCTTCATTCGCTATGCGGACGAGCGGCTTCCTGTGAGATGGAACGGATATCCTCCGAAGGTTAAGGCACCGGAGCTAACCCAAGAGTTGCAAGATGTCGTGGATAAGCTAAAGTTGGGCGGCGTTAGAAAGCTGAAGGACCTCCTGACCATCGAGGCACTCTCTGATGCAGGGATAGTGTTGAAGATAATTTAATTGTGAATCAAGTTTGTCATCTATCTTGTAATAGATTAGCTTTATTATTATTCCTCGTATTAAATATGTGCACTTATTAGATAGAATATGGGCCATGTGTTAGGCCCATACTAAAGGCTAAAAGCCTTATTCGCCTACCTGAATCTCGCCTATAAAAAGGGAGCCGAGGATTCAGGATTAGGTTAACTTTCGTACTTATTCATAATAGCCTTAGCGCAAATAATTCTGTGTACGAGTTCACGGTATATCAAAGAGGGTTTTACATCGATTCATCTGTGTTCATCCTTACGGTTAATCTTCTTTATTATACAGCTATTCATTGCTGTTACACTAAACAGGGACTATCAATTGGTATCAGAGCCGATCGAGAGCCGATCAGAAGAACGCCTGCAGAAGACCTCTGTTTTTCTTTAAGTTGTTCTTTCTGTCGATTTTTTACTCTGTAATCTTGTTTCTTGTTAAAAAGTTGTAAAAGTTACACCCTTAGAATCGTCGTTTCGAAGCGATCAAAGGGTATACTTCAGATTTCGTTTTCTGCAATTTCTGTACTTGAGATATTTCGAGTAGCATATGTCGACGTCTAGGTTTTAAACAGGTTCTGCCAAGTATTTCGAGCTGAAAACTTTACCTGAGGATCTCGACATCATTCTTTACAAGAAACTACCTTCAGATTTTGCTTATCTGATTTTTACAGTTTGCAGGATTTCGACATTGAGGATTTCGACATCTAAATCTCGAGATCAAGATTTCGATTTTAAGGTCTCGACATCTGGTCTCGACATTTGACTTCTCGAAATAATATTTCGAGTTTAACTTCTCGACATCTCAAATCTCGAGATCTACATCTCGACATTTGAAATCTCGAGATTTCAAAACTCGAGATCCAAATCTCGATATCAAATCTCGAAACCGGGCCTCCTTATCGAAATCCCAGATCTCGATATTCAGATCTCGACATCTGATTTTCGACATTCTGCCTCTGAAAATCTTTTGATCAATTATCTCGAACGGTCAGTTTTATACAACAATGGCCTCAGAATTCAATGCCCAAGGGAACAACAGTACTCCTCCCAGTCTCAGGAAAGGAGAATATCAAATGTGGAGAAATCGATTCCTTAATTTCCTTGAGCACAAAGAAAACTCCGCTGCTATGCTTGAATCGTTGCTTGAAGGACCAGCTGAACTGATGATTTCAGTTGGTGGAGATCCAGAAAACAACCCACCTATTCTTCCAGAAAGGAGACGGAAAGTGGCATCTGAATATACCGAAGCTGACAGGCTCAGGCTTCGAGGTGATCTCATGGCCAAGACGTACCTCCTTCAAGCAATCCCTAACGAAGTATATGTTCTTATCGACAGCATGCAAACGGCAAAGGAAATGTGGGATGAGATCGAGAAACTGCTCCAAGGCACAAGCATTAGCCTTAAAACCAAGAAGACAACAATTCTTATTGCTTATGACTCCTTCAAAGCTGGCCCGGGAGAACCATTGAACGAAACTTACAACAGACTCGTCCAACTGGTCAATGAACTTAGAAAAATCAAAGTATTCAGGTCCAACTTGGAACTGAATATAAGATTTCTATCCAGCTTACATCCTGCATGGGAAAAGACAGTGAAGGATGTTAGATCTCGGATTGACTTGGATGAAATTGACCTCTGCACTCTTTATGAAAATTTGAAGCAATTTGTCAATGAGGTTGCTTGTGCTGAGGATCATCACAGCTCAAATCCCCTGGCTCTAGTGATGGAAGCTCAGCCCCGAAGGACAACCACACCACTGAAGAAGAAGAAGAAGAAGAAGAAGAAGAAGAAGGTGGTTGAATCAGATGAATATGAAAGTGATGATGACAAATCTGATCTGGAGGCTGAGCTTGCAGACTTACAGAAGAAAATGGCACTGCTTGCCAAGAGATTTGCAAAGAAGAATAACTCCTCCAACAAGCTTAGAACCTCCTCCTCAAACTACAAACAAAAAAACCATGAACAAGGATCTTCTA